CTGTAGGTGTGAGGAAGAAGAAATTTTGATGAGAGAAGTCTTATAAATTATCCAATCAAAAGTCCTTGGCTATTTGTATCCACACTTAGGGTAAGCAAGTTGGTTCAACTGTGCAAATGATTATATCAAAAGACTAGTGGCCCAGTGCACGAAATTCGTGCACCTGGGGGGGAGGGGTCCCCCAGCCTGGCCTGTGCGCCCTGTCACAGTGCGGGAGCCCCGCGATCCATCGCCCCAAAGAGGTAGGCCCCACCCACCCATCCGGGGTTCCTCGATGGATTGCCCTAAAGAGGTAGGCCGGAGCCAGGGGAGGCCTGCGGACCCCTGGGCCGGGCTGTGGCAGAGGCCTGTGGTCCCCCGGTGCAGGTGCTCGGGGAGGCCTCCCTCGCCATGGGCCCCAACCCCGGTCCCCCCAGTTCCCGACGCTGCAAGTCCCTGCCCACCCGTGTCTGCTGCATATGCAGCCTGCTGATTGGTCATTACGCGTGAGGGCGTCCCAACCAATTTGCATATTACCCTATTATTCATATAGACATCATCAAGAATGGACCCAACTCTAGTCTCGAGTCAGGTAGCAAATTCCAGCTACAAAACCAATGGATGGTAAATTCAAGCTAAATTTTCCAACTCTCTGTAACTTGCCTGGATCCTTTCTTCTTCCAGATCCCGAGGGCAAAGACCTTGCTGATCCTATTTATCCCTTGATAGAGGTAAAGGAGTATAGAGCCTGGCACATAATAGGTGCTCAGTAAACATGTGTTGTGTGAACAAACGTTCTTTCTCCAGGGTCAAAAACCAAATGGAAATTATGAGTCTCTCTTCACTTGGAATAAACAGAGATAACCAGGGATGCATCCAGATAACCTGGGAGCATGATGAATGAGGCCTGACAACCAGCCCGGGCTCCACTTTCCAAGCTGTGTGCCCTGGTACAGGCTGTATCTGCATGGAGAAGGGGTGCCACTTTCAAGTTCACACGCATGGGCTAGCAGTGGCCCAGTCTGGGGGGAAATTCTGGCGACATATGTCCCTGAAATTGATGACAGGTTAAGTACACTTTCAACAAATAGATGTTTGATACATGGAGAAGCAAAGACTTTCATGTTCCTGCCACTGGCAATGCTCAACCCACCAACATTCCAATGTAACAAGCCATGATGCACATTGTATGTCCTGCCTCACAACCGCCAGGACAGGGCTGGTGGAAAGATCTACCCACAGCTTGAAGAACACTTCTCAGATATATATTTTCCAATATAGTTTTTTTTAAATAATGACGATAATTTTTATTTTATTTTTATTTTTTAAAATATATTTTATTGATTTTTTACAGAGAGGAAGGGAGAGGGATAGAGAGTTAGAAACATCGATGAGAGAGAAACATCGATCAGTTACCTCCTGCACACTCCCCACTGGGTATGTGCCTGCAACCAAGGTACATGCCCTTGACCGGAATCGAACTTAAGACCCTTGAGTCCGTAGGCCGATGCTCTATCCACTGAGCCAAACCGGTTAGGGCAGTGGTCGGCAAACTCATTAGTCAACAGAGCCAAATATCAACAGTACAACGATTGAAATTTCTTTTGAGAGCCAAATTTTTTAAGCTTAAACTATATAGGTAGGTACATTGTTATTAACTTAATTAGGGTACTCCTAAGGCTTAGGAAGAGCCACACTCAAGGGGCCCAAGAGCCGCATGTGGCTCGCGAGCCGCAGTTTGCTGACCACTGGGTTAGGGCAATGATGATCATTTTTAAAAAAAATAAGTTTTTATTGATTTCAGAGAGAGAAAAGGAGAGGGAGAGAGAGAAACATCAATGATGAGAGATAATTATCAATTGGCTGCTTCCTGCACGCCCCTTACCGGGGATCGAGCCTGCAACCTGGGCATGTGCCCTGACCAGGAATCAGTGACCTCCTGGTTCATAGGTAGATGCTCTACCACTGAGCCACACCAGCCGGGCCCAGTATAGTTTTTTTATTTCCCAGCACCTACTCCAACTTTGTCATTTTAAAGAAGGCTTTGCAGGCTTGGCTTAATAAAGATATTGCTTTGAGATTGTTGGTTCTTTTTACAGTTCTGAGAACTGGCTATTTTGAGCCTTGTCGATATTTTCCATACGTCTATGTTTCTATCAATTTGCATTATTGTATAGTATTTATTGATATTGGGTGCTGTTGGTTTTCGGGGTAGGGCAATTCTTCATTGGGAGGACAGTCTCCAGCACTGCAGAACATTAGAACTCTTGGTCATTTATAGCAAATGCCAGGAGGAGTGCCCCAAATCAATGGGACACCACAGTTGCTCCCCCAGATTTCCAAATGCCTCCATGGGCAATGGCTTGCCTGAATTGATCACAAATTACAGATGGTCGAGCTTTGAAAAGGGCCGGGATTTAACATCACAAGACACCCTCAGGAAAGTACATACCTGGTGGAGTTGGTCAGCCACCTTCCTCCTGCACAGCCTTCCTCTTCCTCTTGGTTCTGTGGACTTTGCAGTCTCTATCGGGAAATTGTCTATCCCAGATCTGCACTATGTCAGTGGGAAGACACCTCTAGTACCTTAGAGGGAGTGCAATGAGGAGGGTGTAGGAAACTCTTTTTAGAATTTGGGTTTCACTTCCTTGATGTTCTGTTTATTTTCATATGTAACATATGTTTCCAGGCTCCACCATCTGTCCGTCCGTCTGACAGTTATTACAGGGGCAGGGGGGCTTTATTTCGATTCATCCTTACACAGGTTTGCTCAGCTTAAAAACAGGCACAGTTCCACTTTCTAGATGAGGAAACCAAGGCTTCGAGAAGGCACGAAACTTGCTCAGGGTCAACTTTCTGACTCCAGGGTCTGTGTTCTGGCAGTAGAATGGTCTCTTGCTATAAAACTATTTTTAAAAGGCTTGGGGTGGGGTGGGGGTGAGGGTGTCAGAAAAAGAGGTTTCTATTCAAAGCATGTACACATCTTGTCCCCCAGGACACACCAAGTGACATCATTAGCATTCAACCTGTCAGCACAGGCTGGAGTGTGGTGTTAGCTCATCTCAGATGGGGGTGGGGCACTGGGAAAGACGCAGATTGGCTGCTGATTCATTAATAAACCAGGATAGTGTGTGAGCACCAGTGGCAGCCTGAGAGCCGACTGCTGGACTGCTGTCTGGAGAATTTGGCAGCTGCATTCTCCCCAGCTTTACTGCAACCGCCTCCCCCCCACCCCCCCAGACCTGATATCCTGGGAGAGGAAGGAAACTGGCTGGGCTCTAAGGTGGCTTCAGGGCTCTGGGGTGGGGAAAAGCAGGCATTGTGGCCCATTAACACCATTCATTCATTCAAACATGCATTCGTTTCATACTTATTGAGCATCCACCACCTGCCAGAATCTATTCTAGGTGAAGAAACAGCAACAAACAACAGACAGATATCCCTGCCCTCATGAGGGAGACACAGTAGCATATTAGAAAGGGAAATCATCTAGCAGATGGATGAAGTGCTTTGGGCAATAAGCAGCAGGGAAGGGCGCGGAGAGCTTTGGGGGCTAGATTTTAAACAGATCAAGGCCTCGGGGAGTGACATAGGATCTAACAGCACCTTGGTGGACACTGCTTCAAACGATGTCACAATTACTACCTCAATACAACCCCTAAAAATGGTTATGATTATTCCCATTTCACAGACAGAGAGGCAGTGATTTCCGGGGTCTCACAGCCAGCACGTGGTGGAGCTGAGGTTTGAACCCAGGCAGCAGGGAGTCCAGCAGCTGCGCGCTGGGAGGTTGCTGCGGAGCCGCAAACCGGCTTGGGAAAAGGCAAGTTGCGGGCGCACAAGAGGCCTCTGTGGGTACCCTGAATCCAATACGGTCCACCCATGGGCAAATGTGGATGGACTTGAGTGGGGGTGGGGAGTTCCGTCGCCCAGCTGCAGAGGTGGCGGCCGGTGCGGGAGGGAGCCCACTGCTAGGGTTGCCCCGAGTCTGTGCCGGTCGGAACCTCACCCCGCCGCCAACCCCTGGCCAGTTGCTCCAGTCAATAAGGCGAGGAGGACGTCGCGGCACCCGTCGCCCTCCTTAGGGCTCGCCTGGGAGTTCCTGCCGGGCCGAGGAGGGCCGCGGAGGCGAGCTCGGGAAGGGAGGACTCAGAGCACCCGCTGTCGGCCCTCGGGAGAGGCGCGCGAGGT